AAGGAAAAAGTGTCTCAACCTAAGTCTCCACCTTATATAAAAATTAATTTGGCCCTGGCTGGTGTGGCTCAGTGGATTGAGAGCCAACCTGAGAACTGAAAGGTCACAGGTTCAATTCCCAGCCAGGGCACATGCCTGGGTTGCGCACCAGGTCCCTGGTTGGGGACACGTGAGAGGCAACTGAACAATGTATGTTGCACGTTGCTGTTTCCCTCGCTTTCTCCCTCACTTTCCCTCTGTCTAAAAGTAAATAAATACAGTCTTTTTAAAAAATTATTCAAAATGGATCACAGACTTAAATGTAAACATAAAACTATAAAATGTTTAGCAAAAAATTTAGGAGAAAATCTTTGGGATCCAGGCCTAAGCAAAAAGTTCTTAGACTCCATACCTCAAGCACAATGCATAAAAATTAAACCTGAAAAATTGGACTTCAAAATTAGATTTTTTTGTGCATCAAAGGACATGATCAAGGAAATGAACTCACTGGCCATAGAACAGGAGGAAATGTTTGCAAATCATGTATCTGACAAGGTCTGGTATGCAGAATATATAAAGAACTCTTGCACCTCAACAACAAAAAAGTCCAACTCAGAGACCTCTGGCCAAGACGGAGGTGTAGGTGAAACATTGTGCCTTCTCACACAGCCAAATTTAAGGAAAAAAAGATTTAGAAACAAACAACCAGAACAGACAGAAAATTGAACTGTACCGAAGCCCAACAACGAACCATTCATCCAGACCAGTAAGAGGGGCAGAGTCAGTGGTCGATGAAGAGGGGTCAGGGCAGGAAAAATTGGTGGTTGGCAGACCTGGGCATGGGGAGGAAATGAGCACACCCAACCCAGTGAGGTGCACAAGGCGGTTGGCTGACTGTAGTCACACATTCACACAAAGATAAGCCAGGCAAAAATGGCAGTGAGACAGATCATGCAACCCAGGACCGCAGCGATGGGAAATAAAGCCTAAAAAGCACCGATTGAAAAAGTTTGCAGAGGTTGAGGCGCCAGGAGAGACTTTCAGGCTCACAGGAGAGGTCATTGGACAGACCCACAGGGCCCTAGAACGTACACAAGCCCTCACCTGGTAACCAGCCCCAGAAGAATCCAATTTGCTTGTGAGAAGCGGCAGAGGGGACCGAAATTCGAGAGAGAGCTGAACAAATGCCATTGCTCCCTCTCTGATTCCGCCCCCAGTCACAACCCAGCCACATGGGTTGCCCCACCCTGGCGAACACCTAAGGCTCCACCCCTCATACCTAACAGGCGTGAACAGACCAAAAAATTATGACTCAAACACAAGAACAAATCAAAGCCCCAGAGCCAATACTTTTAAGTGACCAAGAGATAGCCAACCTATCAGATGCATAGTTCAAACACTGGTGATCAGGATGCTCACAGAACTGGTTGATTTTGGTCACAAATTAGATGAAAAAAAATGAAGGCTACACTAATGAAATGAAGGGAAATGCACAGGGAACCAATATGATGGAAAGAAAACTGGGACTCAAATCAATGGAGTGGACCAGAAGGGAGAAAGAAATAAACAAACAGAAAAGAATGAAAAAACAAGAATTAAAAAAAACGAGGAGAGGCTTAGGAACCTCCAGGACATCTTTAAATGTTCCAACATCCAAATTATAGGAGTACCAGAAGGGGAAGAAGAAGAGCAACAAGTGGAAAACTTATTTGAACAAATAATAAAGGAGAACTTTCCTAATCTTGCAAAGGAAATAGACTTCCAGGAAGTCCAGGAAGCTCAGGAGGTCCCAAAGAATTTGGACCCAAGGAGGAACACACCGAGGCACATCATAATTATATTAGCCAAGATTAATATGAAGGAGAGAATCCTAGAAGCAGCAAGAGATAAGGGGACAGTCACCTCACCTACAAAGGAGTTCCCATTAGACCGTTAGTGGATTTCTCAAAAGAGACCTTACAGGCAAGAAGGGGCTGGAAAGAAGTATTCCAAGTCATGAAATCCAAAGAGCTACATCCAAGACTGCTCTATCTAGCAAAGCTTTCATTTAGAATGGAAGGGCAGATAAAGTGCTTCTTAGACAAGGTCAAGTTCAAGGAGTTCATCATCACCAAGCCCTTACTATATGAAATGTTAAAGGGACTTATCTAAGAAAAAGAAGATAAAAAATATGAACAGTGAAAGGACAGCAAACTCACAGTTATTAACAATCACACCTAAAACAAAAGCGAACTAAGTGGACAACTAGATCAGGAGCAGAGGCACAGAAATGGAGAACACATGAAGGGTTAGCAACAGGGGAGTGGGAGGAGGAGAGGGGAGGAGAAGGTACAGAGAATAAGTAGCATAGATGGTGGGTGGGGAGAAAATAGACAGGGGGGAGGGCGAGAACAGTGTGGGGAAATGTAGAAGCTAAAGAACTTATGACACATGGACATGAACTAAAGTAGGGGAATGTTGGGGGAGGGGGTGTGCAGGGTGGAGGGGAATGAAAGGGAGGAATGGGACAACTGTAATGGCATAATCAAAAAAATATATATTTTTTTAAAATCCAACTCAAAAATAGGTAAAAGACTAAAACAGACATTTCTCCAAGGAAAATAAACCAATGTCTATTAAGCACATGAAAAGATGCTCAACATCACTAGTCACTAGAGAAATGTAAGTCAGACCCACAATGAGATTCCACTTCACACCACTAAGATGGCTATAATTTTTTTAAAAAGGAAACTAAGTGTTGGTAGAAATGAAGAGAAACTGGAACCCTCATGAAACTGGAACCCTCATGCATTGCTGAGGGGGGGGGTGTTGAAAATGGTGCAGCCACTGTGGAAAACAGTTTTAGTGGTTTTCAGTAAATAAACTAAACATAGAATTACCGCACAACCCACCAGTTCTACTCCTGAATATATTCTCCACTCAAAAGCATTGGAAACAAGCGTTCAAACCAAAGCGTGTTCACAGATATTCACAGCAGCACTATTCACAAAAGCCAAAAGGTGAAAACAAGCCACGTTCCCCCAACCGATGACAGGACAACAAAGTGTGGTGGATCCATAGAATGGAATATTATTTAGCCACCAAAAGTAATGAACTACTGATACGTGCTACATGATAAATCTTTAAAGCATGCTAAGTGAAAGGAGCCAGTAACAAAAAGACCTCATGTTATATGATTCTCTTTCTCTAGAGTCAGAAAATCCATTGAAACAGAAAGGTGGTCAGGGGCCGCTGGGCGACTAAAGGGAGGGACGAATGAGAAGTGACTGCTTAATGGGTATGGGACCCACTTCTGCAGTGGACAGTGGCAGTAGCTGCACAGCATTGCACCGCTTGTCACGAAGGGTCGATGTCATGTGTATTCACCACAGTATTTAATTGACATCCTTCCATTCATGTGCAAGGCCGGATGGAGCTCTTCCTTGTTCAGGTCAGGCTCCTGTCTCCTCCGTGTGAAAGCACAAGAAAACCGTAAACGACATTCGAGAAATGCATCGATCGTTTCAGAGTTGGATCATGAAGTTCAAAGCAAGGTTCTCTGCCAGCCAGCTCCGCACGCAGCCGCCAGGCCGCCCAGGAATCCCTTCGGAGCGCCTCTGCCTCTAAGATGAGGAGGCTCCCCAAATGCGGGTTGCTTAGACATTCAGATTAACTGTTGCAAATCAGAGACTCCGTCCAGGCAGGCCTCGCCGTTTAGGAAACAAAACTCCTTTTCCGGGTCTTCCCCACCCTGCGGGCGCGGCCCCAGGCCCGGGGACTGGGAAGGACGCGGCCCCGCCGCGTTTGCGGTGGAGGCCGCCGCGCTGCGCAGGCCGAGAGGCTGCGTCGCCGGGCCCTGCGCTCCGCTCCCCAGAGAGGCAGGCAGTTGGGGCAACCCTGGGCTGACGGACCTCGGTCCCCTCCAGTTCCTCCCACGCGAAGTGTGTTATAACCAGCTCCCTCCACCTCCCGCCGCGGGGAGCACCGGTTCTCTGCCCCTGCCTTGAGAGCACCTGGCCAAGTCGCGTTTTCCCCCGGGCGTCTCAGGCGGAAACCCCCGCGGGTGACCTCGCTGCCACCGCGCGCCCACGGCACCCCTCGGGAAGCATCCTACGCTCACAGACGTGGAGCACGCGGGCTCACTGGTAGGGAACCAGACCAAGGAGAAACTTGGTCCCAGTGAGCCACTGGCCCAACTGCCCTGGCCTGGACTCATACTTGAGGGGAAAATCCCGAGAGCAGTGAAACCTGTCACCAGCTCGCTTGCAGCGGCCAACACCCCCTTTTACCGGGTCTGCACGCTCCTTCCCCCAGAAGAGGAAGCTGGGCTCTCACTTCTTGTTCCACTGTTTGAAACCCGCAGGGAATTAGGCCCTCGAAATCAGGTTCCTAAGAACTTCTTTCAACCAGGCCCAGGTCCTGAGCTGAACTGGACCAAACAACTCTCTAACTGCCAGAGAAGCCCGTCCACTCACGCTTTATTATTCCACAGAGCTCTCAGAGCCCTCAGAGAAATGCTTCGCCCTTAAACAAAATAATGCCAGCACCTGCGTGTCCTGGCTTCTCGGCTCTGGGTGCAGAAGGGAGCACCTCCACGGAGGAGGAAAAACCGGGGCCTGTCGGCTTCTTAGTTCGGTGCCGAGGGCGCCGGCCTGGCCACAGGCCTGGCCACGGGCCTGGCCACAGCTGCGGCAGGAGAAGAGTGGTTTGCTATCTTTTGGAAGTTTACTAGAGAATGAGTTTGGGCCAGTTGGTGTTTACATGCTTAGTCACTACAGAGCTGGTACTGGGTGCAGGAGGGGAGAAGGCTTGCTGCTTTGCTGGTCACTGGAGAAGTCACCCCAGGAAAGTGATGGGCTTCTCTCCTAGGTCCGAGTGCCAGGGCTCAGAGCTGGGGCTCTCAGGGAGACTCCACTTCTGCTTCCAGGGCCTGGCTCAAGGGGATGAGGGTTGTTAGGGTCTCCGTGTAGTAGGGGCCGGACACCTGCTGATTGTGGTGCATTAGGCTGACAAACTTTTGGCCCAGTTCTGCCAGCTCTGCCTCAATGAGAGTAAGGCCTCGGGGGAGGCCTAATCAAGAGCGCTGCACACCAAGAACCAAACAGCATTTGAGAAACAAGTGGATCCGCTGATCTGTGAGCGGGAAAAGACAGTGAGAAGGGACAGGTCAGGCGCCTTCAGGGAGACACGCTGCCCTGCACTCACCAGGTTCTGAGTGAGCTGAGACACTCACTAACCTACTCACTTGGCTAGACTTAGGGACTTTGTTTTGTTTGGTGGGGGGAGGGGGCTGCTATGTAGCTCCCAAGGACAAAGCGAAGATGGAAAACTAGTGGGCTAGTAAATTTTTGACTATTCCAAAGATTACTTAGGTATCCATCAGTTAGATCCTACCAAGCATTTGACATACCAGAAAGATCTTAAATTGATTCTTTGGATGGGCTGAGGCGAACAGCAAGGCCATGTTCATAGCCTCCACTCCAGCGTGGGATGGTGGAGGGGAATCGCTGCCATGCGAACATGTCTGCCAGTATAACTCAGCATCAGTTTCTTGTTGGAGGGGGGTGGGTGCCACAGGTCACAGACCACAATCGGAAAATGACCTAGAAGGCCAGAGATGACTCAACCAGGTTGGTTGGACAGTATGCCACACCTACATGTCATGGATTCCTGGGTGCAAATCTTTCTTAGAACCACAGAGTCGGTCTTTAAATTAAAAAAGATTTATTTCAACCCAGCATTTCCAAAAACTAATGCCCAAATAACAACTTGCCCAGTGACCACGCCTGTCCCTGTTAAGTGGTTCGGTAGCTGACTTGCAGGGCTGGAATCTACCTCTCTTCACGCTGTCCTCACCCCCAACCTCCAACACACACTCACCGATGATGCTGCGGACACAGTTCTCCTTGTGGGCAGTGTCCTGGAGCTGTCCCACCAAAGAGGCTGTGTTGTCACTGCTCGGAGCAGCAAGGCCCATGTTCTTAAGGCTTTGATTGATTTCCTGAGACATCCGTTCACTCACAGTCAGTATGGCCTCCTCAGGCCGAGACCATGAAGGACACTCAGCTGGCACCCCCAGGTGGCCCTGGCATTGGCCCAGAGCCTTGAAGCTCCACACCTGCCACAGGGCCCAAGTGAGGGAGACTCCCAGCCCTCCTCCTGCCCTCACCCAGCCCTGGGGAGCCACAGAGCCCAGTGGGCAGATTCAGTGTCTTCACTCTCACCTCAGGATATCGACTGTTCTCTACAGACAACACCACATTCTCCCTCTCAGTGAACAAGATAAACTGAAACCAACTCCGGACAGCATTTGGTTTGGCCCTTGGATCAACTCAGTATTCTTTGGTCCCATGTAATTTATTTATATGTATGTATGTCTATACATTTTTCAAGACTTTCTTGGACATTTTCCATGGCTTTTTGTCCTACTCTCACCAACTAGAGTGACAAACCTGGCCTTCTGATTCTGCTGGCGTGATGTCCGGCAACACAGTGGACATCATTCAGTACTGCTGACCCAGCACCTCCCAGTGCGTGTAAGTAAGACCAGCCCACTGCCGCCCACTCAGCCACAGGATGACTGCGTTGTAGCAACAAAATGATGCGTCATTTTGTAGCCTCTGCACTACTCTTCTGGAAGTTTGATTTTTCTTTGTCACGAGCCTCAAGACCACTTATAGGAAGACACCAATAATCTCTGTGGACGGTTCCAAAGGGCCTTTCTGTGGCTGGTGGTGGAACGTAAGCAGTTATTCCTTATCTCCTGTCCTCTTACCACATGCCATGTCCTCTAAAGACACAGAACCTACGCAGCTCACCTGGAATTCAATTCCTCCATGGAGGCTTCGATTCTGCATTTCAGCTTATCCACAAACTGAGGGGAGCCAAACAGAACGCTGACAGAGAAACTGCTGGTCACCAGCAAGACCGAGGCCGGGATGGTCAAGTAGAGCAGCTGTGACTGCAGCTTCTGCAGCCGGGCTCTGTCCACCAGCAGCATCTGAGGACGCAGAGGGGACAGGTGGTCAGAGAGCAGAGTCCTGTGGAGGAGGGACCTCATACAAGCCCATAGGCAGTGCCCCACACAGGCTTGCCTCAGGGAACTCTTCATCTCAGGGTCCCAGAGAAGAAGGTTCAGGAAACCCTGGGACGGCACCACTGTGGGGCTAAGGGGCTCGGGGCTGTGGGCTACCCCCTTCGGAGAGGGGCAGGCCACCCCACAGGGGTCCGGAGCTTCGGGGCAAGCTGGAGGCAGCGTGGCAAGGTCTGCTGCTGCTCAGGTCCGCCACCCGGTGGTGCGATCCAGGAGGCCTGGCTCCGGGCAGAGTGCAGGAGCGGCTTCAGCATCTGTACCCCTGACTCTTGGTTCTTTCCCAAATGTACTCCTGGTCCATAAACACATGCTTATGGGTGCCCTTTTGTCTTTGATAACTGTTCCTTCTCCCTCCCCCTACTGAGGAAGAAACTTTCTGTTCCTCAAAGGAGGCAGAGTACTCTGTAGTGATACAAAAGTCAGACCCAAGGTCATATCTCCCCACGCCTGCCCACAAGTTATATATGTGCTTGGCTGTTTGTCGAGGAGTTGCTGGAATTTAGCCCGTTCATACTGAATGGAATGTTCCTGCAGGTGGGGTTGAAGGCTCTGGTGGTGTAATTCATCCTGTGCGTTTTCATCAGGCCCAGGACCCGGAAGATCCCCCCGATGCAGAGAAAACGAAACATTGATTCTGTGAGAGGGGATCCAGTGAGAGGCCCCAGCAGAAGCCACTGAATCACTGCGTTAGAAAACTAGAGTAAACACAGCTCATTTCCTTGCACTACCACATCAAAATTACAACTAACATATAGAACAACCGTCACTCAGAACCATCAGAAATCAATGGAGGGCTGAATATAGAATTAAAGTAACCTCATCCATCTACAACCACGTGAATAAAAACTTGGGAAGCATATCTCAGGAGTGAGGAGTCCCAGTCGAAGACCAAGGCCCCCAGTCCAGGGTTCCAGTGCCAGGAAGATAAGTCCCCACAACTTCTGGCTGCAAAAACCAGTGGGGATTGATTTGGTGGAAGAAACTTCTAGATTCCCAAGCAGTTCCTCTTACAGAACCCACACACGGACCGACTCAGACTCACTCCCTCTGAGCTCCAGCACTGGGGTAGCAGCTTGAAAGGCACCAGTGGTGACAGGGAGGAACTGAAGTGTCTGATGTCAGGGTGAGAGCTGAGGGACAGCTTCCTCCTCGACAGAAAGTTGGCCGTTCTCCTGTTTCTGAACCTCCCCCCACAGAGCCACAGAACTGGCAGGCAGGTGCCACACTTGAGAGTCCATTAACCTGGCTCACACTGTTTGACCCACCCCTCAGATCCCCTGAGGCTCTGTCCCACCCAATTTACAGCTTTTCCATGAGTGGCTGGTTTGGGCTCCAGCTTCACAAGTTCCTAAATACCCTCAAACAAACAACAGCCAGCCTCAGTGAGCCCCAGACCCCATACTCTTGCTCAGTGGCCCCAGGCCTGACACTAGCCCAGCTGGCCAAGATTCACAGGCTGGCTTTGCCCGGGAATCTCCAAGCCCAGTACATGTAGCAGCCATCTCAGATTGCTTTATAGCTCATGCAGGGTGACCCTGGGCAGAACACAGGGCGGGGCTGACCTTGGCCTGCACCACCTGGGAAACCGCAGGGCCTGCACACACAGTGGGCAGCTACAGACCAGGTTGGAGCACCACCACCCTGCCCCTGCACAGCTGATCCTCCATGAAGGGCAGAGGTTGGTGGTCAGTGGTCAGAGCCAGTCCTTGCAGCTGACTGGCCTGGCTAAATCCCTCCCATTTATCTGCCAACAGCAACCAAGGCTCAACTACAAGAGGAGGGTGTACTCAGGCCACACAAAGGCTGCAACTCCAGTATCCAGCCTGAGTGATAGAGGACACTGTGCCATTGGACCCTACAGGACACCTACTACATCAGGCCATGCTGCCAAGACAGGGACTCATAGCAACTCTACCTAATACATAAAAACAAATAGAGAGAGGCTGCCAAAATAAGGAGACAAAGAAACATGGCCCAAATGAAAGAACAGATCAAAATTCCACAAAAAACCTAAACAAAATGAAGCTAAACAATCTATCAGATGCAGCGTTCAAAACACTGGTTATAAGGATGCTCCAGGAATTTAGTGAGGACCTCAGCAGCATAGAAAAGATCCAGTCAGAAATGAAGTATAGGAAAGAGACTTCCGGCTAAGATGAAGACACAGGTAGATATACTTAGCCTCCTCATACAACCAAAAGAAGGACAACAACAAATTTAAAAACAAAAACAACCAGAAAATTGAACTGTATGGAAGTCCGACAACCAAGGAGTTAAAGAAGAAACATTCATCCAGACTGGTAGGAGGGGCAGAGACAGGCAGCCAGGGTGGTGAGGACACACGTCAAGGTGGCAGCTGGAGGACTGAGCAGAGGAGGCAGTAGCTGGTGGTCCCACATTTGTGTACAGATAACCCAGGAGGTACAACTGTGGAGCAAGACAGACTGCCCAACCCAGGGTTCCAGCATGGGAAAAGAAAGCCTCAAAACCTCTGGCTATGAAAACCTATGGAAATTGCAGCTGCAGGAGAAACTCCCACCCTCACAGGAGGGTGCATTGGAGAGACCCACAGGGTCCTAGAACATACACAAGGCCACCCACCTGGGAATCAACACCAGAGGGCTCAATTAGCTTGTGGGTAGCAGGGGAAGTGACTAAAAGCTGACAAGAGCCAAGCAAGCGGCATTGTTCCCTCTCAAACCCCTCCCCCACATACAGTGCCACAACGCTGTGATGTGGGTTGCCCCATCCTGGTGAATACCTAAGGCTGTACCCCTTACAATGTAACAGGTGTGCTGAGCGAATAAAAATGGCCCAAATGAAAGAACAGATCAAAACTCCAAAAAGAACTAAGTGACAAAGAGATAGCCAACCTATCAGATGCAGAATTCAAAACACTGGTAATCAGGATGATTGCAGAAATGGTTGAGTATGGTTGCAAAATTGAGGGAAAAGTGAAGTCTATGCAAAGTGAAATAAAGAAAAATATACAGGGAGCCAACAGTGAAGGGAAGGAAACCAGGACTCAAATCAATGATGTAGAGAATAACAAACAAATAAACATTCAACTGGAACAGAATGAAGAAACAAGAATTCCAAAAAATGAGGAGAGGTTTAGGAACCTCTAGAACAACTTTAAACATTCCAACATCGAATCATAGGGTTGCCAGGAGAAGAGCAAGAAATTGGAACCTTATTTGAAAATATATGAGAGAGAACTCCCCCAATTTGGCAAAGGAAATAGACTTCTAGGAAGTCCAGGAAGCTCAGAGAGTCCCAAAGAAACTGGACCCAAGGAAGCACACACCAAGGTACATCATCATTAAGTTACCCAAGATTAAAGATAAACAGAGAATCTTAAAAGCAGCAAGAGAAAAGGAGACGGTTACCTACAAAAAAGTTCCCATAAGACTCTCAGCCTATTTCTCCAAAGAAACTTTGCAGGCAAGAAGGAGTTGGAAAGAAGTATTCAAAGTTATGAAAGGCAGGGGCCTACAACCAAGGTGACTCTATCCAGAAAAGCTATCATTTAGAATAGAAGGGTAAATAAAGTGCTTCTCAGATAAGGTCAAGTTAAATCAGTTCATCATCATCAAGCCCTTATTATTTGAAATGTTAAAGGGACTTATCTAAGAAAAATAAGATCAAAACTATGAACAGTTGAATGACAACAAACTCACAACTATTCAACAACTGAACCTAAAAACAAAAACAAACTAAGCAAACAACTAGCACAGTAACAGAATCACAGAAATGGAAATCACATGGAGGGTTATCGGTGGGGGAGTGAGGGGGAAAATGTACAGAGTATAAGTAGCATAAATGGTAGGTAGAAAATAGACAGGGAAAATGTAGAAGCCAAAGAACTTATATGTACAACCCATGGATATGAACTAAGAGGGGTAATGCTGGTGGGAAGCGGGATGAAGGGCAGAGGGGAATAAAAAAGAGAAAAAATGGGACAACCATAATAGCATAATCAGTAAAATATACTTGAAAAAAAGAAATGAAGTATACACTAACTGAAATAAAGAACAATTTACAGGGAAACAACAGTACAGTGAATGAAGCCAAGAATCAAATCAATGATTTGGAACATAAGGAAGCAAAAAAACCACCAATCAGAACAACAGGACAAAAAGAGAATCCAGAAAAAAACAAGGAAAGTGTAAACAGCCTCTGAGACAATTTCAAGCATTCTAACATTTGCATCACAGGGATGCCAGAAGAAGAGAAGGAGCAAGAAATTGGAAATCTATTTGAAAAAAATAACAAAAGAAAAATTCCCTAATTTGGTGAAGGAAATAAACACACAAGCCCAGGAAGCACAGAGAGTCCCAAACAAGATGGATGCAAAGAGGCCCGCCCCAAGACAAATCATAAGTAAAAGGCCAAAAGTTAAAGATAAAGTGAGAGTCTTAAAAGCAGCAAGAGAAAAGTTAATTAGTTACAGGGGAGTACCCATAAGACTGTCAGCTGATTTCTCAAATGAAGTTTTTCAGGCTTGAAGGGATTGGCAAGAAATATTCAAAGTCATGAAAAACAGGGACCTACAGCCAAGACTGTTCTACTCAGCAAAGCTGTCATTTAGAATCAAAGGGCAGATAAAGAGCTTCCCAGACAAGAAGAAACTAAAGAAGTTCATCATCTCCAAACCATTATTATATGAAACATTAAAGAGACTTATTTAAGAAAAAGAAGATCAAACCTATGAACAATAAAATGGCAATAAATATATATCTATCAACAGCTGAAACTAAAAAAACAAACTAAGCAAACAAGAACAGAGACAGAATCATGGATCCAGAAATGTTTTGATGGTTGCCAGATGGGAGGTGGATATGGGAGAACGGGAGAAGAGGTGAGGGGATTAAGTACAAATAGGCAGTTACAGAGTAGCCATGGGATGTAAAGCACAGTGTAGGCGGTGGAGTAGCCAAAGAGCTTACACGCATGACCCATGGACCTGAACAATGGTGAGGGAGTGGGGGTGCTGGATGGAGGTGGGAAAGAAGAATTGGGACAGCTATGCTTGTATAATCAATAAAATATAATTAAAAAAAAAGAATTAGAGGGGCTTTAAAACTCACTTAGTTCTGCCTCCTAAATTATACAAGAAGATGCATGGCCCAGGACCAGAGGCTCAGAGTGAGAGCACGGCGGAGCGGGGGACACAGGCCTCTGGACCCTGAAGCCTCTGAGCCCAGTCTGTTTCCACAACAGCCGTTCTGTTGTCTCTTTAAGAAGGGAGTCGGTGGGAGGACTTCTGCCAAGATGGAGGTATAGGTGGATGTGCCGTGCCTTCTCACACAACCAAGTTTAGGGACAACTAAATATTAGCATCAGAAAACACAACCAGAACACGGAAAATTGAACTTTTCGGAAGTCCGTTAACAACAAATTCTTCAACCCGACCGGTAAGGGGCGAAACCGGCGTCTCGTGAGGGGTTGCACGGGAGGACTCCGGTCGGACGGACCCAGGCGCGGAATCCAGACGCGCGAATCCAGGCGCACAGGTTCCAAACGCAGGATTGGACCTAGTGAGCGACCGAGCAACCCACCGGGTGAGCGACTGCTGAGGAGACAGTGGGGAGGCGGTGCTGCGTGTTGACTGCGGTTGCCTGTCTGCGGGCGAGTGGACAGGTGAGGGAGTGGGCGGTTGGACCGGGCCGGCGGTCCCCGTGGCATGCGGCAGTAGAGGGCTCCGCCATTTCCCTGCTCTGACCACGCCCCCACATACAGCGTCACAACCCAGCGACCTGGGAGTCCAAGGCGCCGCTTCTCACATTTAAAGGGCCAGAACAGACCAAAAATGTCGCAGGAAAACCTCAAAGCCCCAGAGATAAATCTAAGCGACGAAGAAATAGCAAAACTCTCAGACGCACAGTTTAAAACACTGGTGATCAGGATCCTCACAGATCTGGTTGATTATAGCCACAAATTAGAGAAACATATGAAGGCTAAACTAAGGGAAATGAATGGAATTCCACAGGAAACCCATAGAGATGAAAAGGAAACTGGGACTCAAATCAATGGAGTGGACCAGAAGAAAGCAAATAATGGCCAAACAGAAAAGAGTCAAGGAGCAAGAATTCAAAGAAATGAGCAGAGTCTTAGGAACCTCCAGGACATCTTTAAACGCTCCAATATCCGAATTATAGGGGTACCAGAAGGGGGAAAGACACAACCACCAGTGGAAAAATTATTTGAACAAATAATAAAAGAAAATTTCCCCAATCTGGCAAAAGAAATAGACTTCCAAGAAATCCAAGAAGCTCAGAGAGTACCAAAAAAGTTGGACTCAAGAAGAAACACACCAAGGCATATCATAATTACATTAGCCAAGATTAAAATGAAGGAGAGAATCCTAGAAGCAGCAAGAGCTAAGGGGACAATCACCTACAAAGGAGTCCCCATCAGACTGTCAGCAGATTTCTCAAAAGAGACCTTACAGGCAAGAAGGGGCTGGAAAGAAATATTCCAAGTCATGAAATCTAAAGACCTACAACCAAAATTGCTCTATCCAGCAAAACTTTCATTTAGAATGGAAGGACAGATAAGGTGCTTCTCAGATAAGATCAAATTCAAGGAGTTCATCATCACCAAGCCCTTATTATATGAAATGTTAAAGGGACTTATCTAAGAAAAAGAAGTTAAAGAAACATGAACAGTGAAAGAACAACAAGCTCACAGTTATTAACAACCACACCTAAAACGAAAGCAAACTAAAAGAACAGCTAGATCAGGAGTGGAAAGATAGAAATGAAGATCTCAAGGAGGGTTAGCAACAGGGGAGTGGGAGGAGGAGATGGGGGGAGAAGGTACAGAAAATAAGTAGCATAGACAGTAGATAGAAAATAGATGGGGGGGCAAGAATAGCATGGGAAATATAGAACCTAAAGGACTTGAGACACATGGACATAAACTAAAGGGGGGTAATGGTGGGGACGGGCAGTAGGGTGGAAGGGAATGAAGGGGGGAATAGAACAACTGTAACAGCATAATCAATTTAAAAAAATAAATTAAAAAAAAAAAAGAAGGGAGTCGGTGGGAGGACACACAAGCACACTAACAGTGTCTCCGGGAGGTGGATTATAGGGGATGCTGTTTCTGATGCCATTTTTGGACCAATCACTTTTTTTTTTTAATTTTCTGTGTCTGGATCTTGGTTTCTATAGCTGTGAACTAGGGATAACCCTTGCCAGTTCACGTTATGTGAACTACAAGAGAGCTTGAGAAAGCGGAATTTGAATGATTTGGAAGAAAAGGCTGCGCGGTTTTACGAAAGGACATTACACAGGGGCCAGTCCATCTAAGGATAACTGGGGGCCCCTCAAGGCCATCTTTGGAAAAGAAAAGCTAACAGGCCAGAGAAAAAGGAGTTAGTCGGGTCTCAGCAAGGAAGAGCCAGCCAAGACAGGGGCTGCCAGCCGGGGCCTGGCCCACAGGAAGGGACAGGTCGCAGAGGACAGTAATCAGGCTTCACACCTGAATAACCGAGCAGGGTCTGTGATGCTGTCCAGTCTCTGCACAGCTTCATCTCCAACCGGTGCACCCAGCAAAGTCACTGTGTTGAGAATGTACTTGGAGAGGTGAGGGACCTTCAGGGCCCCGAGCTCGGCTTCCTGCTTGAGGAGGCCCATGTTCAGAGCTTCCTCGATCTCACTTCTCAGGCGGTTCTGGCGTGGTAAGAGCAGTGACAGCAGGATCTGCCCAGGACACAAAGTCAGAAAGGGGTTAACAGGACAAAAGCCCCTTGTCAGGCCCTCTTTACCAGAGCTAACTGGACCCCATAAAGTATGACTGCCTCTTGTTTTACCAGCCTTTATCCTCAGGTCTGGAAAATCACTGGAAGCACCCCGAAGGGGCAGCATATCCTAGAACTTATGAAACAGGATGTGCCAGACCACAAAGACCCTGCACCCAAAGACAGCGTCGGGACAAGCTGCAGCCTATACAAGATCGACCGAAACACCCTGCTCCGCAGCCACCCGATCACCTAACAAAAGCTCAAAGCCCCCACCCCCCAGGGCTGGTGTGTCTCTCCACACCGTGCCCCCTCCCCTCTTGGAGGGTGAGTAGAGATCTCTATTCTCTGCACTTTTCTTTGTGAATTCTTCCACAGCCCGCATCACCGACCGCCCTAACAGGGGCTGCACTCTGTTCAGAGGCCCGGACTTTCCCTAATGAAAACCCTTTAGCCAAATACATCCCAGCCCATGTCTTCTATGGATTAAGACATCACATCTCTGAATTTCCTAGAGGGCACTAATTCATCTTTGTTTAGGGACCAATAATAGATCAAGGCTTGAGGGGATCAAATACAGCAACAATATATCATTTTTAGATAGAATGAGATAAAGAGATAAATAAAATCAAGGAGTGTGGTAGCAAGAAACTCAAGGTGCAACAAATATAAAATACACACCACCGCATGGTGATGAGGTACTCTTCATTTTAAAAAAGCAGGCATTTTGTGATTTACGTCAAAGACCAAGGAGAAAACAAGCAAAGAAACTGTGAGGAGTAACTGGAAATAGCCTATTAACCCCAAAATGTAAGTTCCCTGTGGATGTCTCTCTTCTTCACCTCTGTGCCTCTGGGACACAGTGGGGCGGAGGGATGGGGTTCAGTGGACATTTAACTGAATGAAAAATTGTGTTGTCATAGCAAGATTCTGCCTGTTTAGCCCTGGCTGGTGTAGCTCAGTGAATTGAGTGTGGGCCTGTGAACCAAAAGATCACAGTTCGAGTTCCAGTCAGGGCACATGCCTGGGTTGCAGGCCAGTTCCCAACAGGGGATGCATGAGAGGCAACCATACACTGACATTTCTCTCCCTCTCTCCTTCCCTTCCCCTCTAAAGATAAATAAATAAAATCGTTAATAAAAAATTCTGCCTGTTTAGCTTTGTCTTAAGCAAGTAAAGCGGAAGTTGCTCCACACTCTATTTAAAAGGTAAACTCTGCCAATTTTCACTTCGGAGCCTCTCAGTTCCAAGTCTGCCCTTCCAGCGCCTCCTCGTGGAAGTGAAGCTGCGGCGCTGGGTCAGCTTTGTCAGTAGAGGGCGCTAAAGAGAGACTGTAAGAGGAGGATGTCCTCCGCCACACACACACACCCATCCCACTGGGCTTCCCCTGGGCAGGCCCCTGGGGCACACAGCTTCTCTTTGTTCAGATTACTGCCCGGTTTCTTCATCCTGATGGGACCCTGACAGATACAACATGGATGCCATGAGTGAGACGGGAACTCAAAAGGCCATCTGTCTGTTGGATCTGATGGGCAGCGAGTGTCTCATATTTTCAATGTCTTGGGAAGACATGCAACGGGGAGAGTGGCAGATAATCCCCACAAACTCTCAGCCGCCCATCACCTCGGTGAAGCTGGTAGAGCGTCAGTGGTCTGGACCGCGTCAGGGGCACACCCTCCAAGGTGAATGGAGAGTGGCTGCACCTCAGCCCACCCACGTGGAAAAAGAGGCACAGCGCTTGTTGGCTTCTTTTGAGTTTCCAAGGCAACACACCCCGCATTAGTTCTGTGGACAAAAAGGGGCTCTGTATAGAATCTGATAAGACGCATCACAAATTCCTAGCTGGGCAGGTCAGAGCGGGTAGTCACCCCGGGCACGACTGTTCTTTAGTAAAAGGCTGGTCTTTGCCCGTAAGCCAGTCCTGTCCACCGTTCTCAGTATCTCGGACAGCAGACTTTGAAATGCCAGAGTCATCCTCTCTTTCAGACCCATCAAGGGAGCACATAAACTTTTTTCTTTTTTAATTTTTTAATTGTTTTTTTAGAGAGAGAGGAAAGGGGGGCAGAGAAAGAGAGACAGACAGACAGACAGACAGACATGTGTTATCCCACATACTCATGCATTCATCAGTTGACCCTTGTACGTGCCCCGACCAGGACTGAACCCGCAACCTTGGCACTGGGGACGACACTAACCAACGGAGCCACCCAGCCAGGGACAGCACACGACCTTGACAACCGTAATCTTCATGACCTTCCCTCTTCAATTTCAAACGTGTAAAAGAAATTACAAAACTGTCCTGCTCCGGAGCATCTGAGATCCTGCTTCGTGGCATGTCATCACTTTGGCTCAAAAAACTCAGACTCAGAAAAAATTCTCTGCAATTTTGAACATTCTTATGTGACACCCACTTAGAGTTGCTCATAAGGTTGCCAATTTCAAGTGGGAGCCGGAGCCGGAGCCAGAGCGGCTCTGCAGCCAGTTCCGGCCCCGCCCAGCCGCTCTGCCACAAGGGCCTTACGGTCCTGCAGGTCCGTGACACCTGAGGGTCCACAGCATTGGAAACTGCACTGCGCAGAGCCCCTGGGAAGCACCCATAGGAGAGACACAGCACAGAGTTCTGGGATTCGGGAGCACGTCTCTGCCCTCTTCCGCGGATAACCGTTTGCCTTGTGAGGAACAGTTCCTGGCTTGCTTCTAGGCCTTGGCAGAAAGTAACACCTCACCCACCATAAGACATCAGGTGACCGTGTGGGCTGAGCTTCCCACGAGGAGCTGGGTGGTTTCTGACCTACCCAGTGGAGAGATGGGATGACCTGGGAATTCAGATGTGTGTGGAAGCGTCTGTGTGGCAGCTGAGGAGCCCAAGCAGTGAAATGTGATATTTATCAATTTACTGTCTCTCAGCTCCAAATCCATCCTTAGTTTCTCTGCTCTGAAAAAATATGAAGTCCTTTAAATATTTTCCCTTTACCAAATGGTAAATTTTAAGCTTCATCTGTAGAATGCACTATTAATTAGTGTTTGCGCAGCGTAGCAAATTACCATGAACTTGAAAGGCTTAAGAAAGCACGTGCACTTGTCCTCTCACAGCTTCCGGGGGCCAGGGGCAGGCGCAGCTGAAGCCGGTGCTCGGCCCAGGCCTCACAGGCTGTAGCGAGCTGTCGCCAGGCTGCATTCTCATCTGGGAGTGCGGCTGGGGATGGACCTCTTACCAAGCTTCTTCAAATTGTTGGCTGAGTTCATTTCTTTACGGTTGTGTACTGAAGGGATCCAGCTTCTTACTGGCTGTTGGCTGGATGAGGGTCCACCTGCATTTCCTGGCCATGGGACCCTCTCCATAGGTGGTTGACAGCTTCCCCGTTTGCTTCGTCAAGGCCGGCAGGAGGATCTCCAGTCTGCTAAGACAGAGTCTTAGGTAATAAAATGTGTCATCCCAGCACCTTTGCCATATTCTGTTGGTTAGAGGCGAGTTAGAGGTCTCATCCGTACTGAAGGAGAGAATGTTATCCAAGGATGTAGCTCACTGGGTGGGGTGGGGTGCAGTCAAGTTAGGGAGTGCCCACCACGTGGTAGAAGACATTGCAAAAGACAAGTGCCTTTCTCTCTGGTTCCAGAATGCTCACTGGCCAGACTCCTGCAGGAGTGTGGCTTTGCCAGTAACTGGCTCCTCCAGCCCGAGTAGCGTCTCCCAGGGCTCAGCTCCTGCAGGGCACAGTGGTCGGCAGCACACACGGCCCAGCGACTTCCCCACACAGCTGTGCCCTCTCAAACCAACACTCGGTGGTCTGTGTCAGCCAGGGGTACAGGGGTTCTCCTACAGCTGCTATTCCAGTCTTCTTTAGAGTTCTCTTTGCTTCTTACTAACCCAAAGCCCCCATTTCTCCAGTTTCCTGTTATAATAATTTTTACATTAAAACTTCCTTGTTGACCCTGACTGGTGTGGCTCAGTGGGTTGGGCATTGTCCCACAAATGGAAAGGTCGCCGGGCCAATTCACAGTCAGGGCACGTGCCTAAGCTGTGGGCCATGTTCCCAGCTGGGCAGTGTGAGAGGCGACCAATCGATGTTTCTCTCCCTCTTTCTCCCTACTTTCCCCTCTCTCTAAAAATAAATAAATAAAATAGTTTTAAAGAATTCCTTGTTGAGCCCTGGCTGGTGTAGCTCAGTGGATTGAGCTCAGGCTGCAAATCAAAGGGTTGCCAGTTCGATTCCCAGTCAGGGCACATGCCTGGGTTATAGGCCAGGTCCCCAGTGAGGGCCATGTGAGAGGCAACCACACACTGATGTTTCTCTCCCTCTCTTTCTCCCTCCCTTCCCACTCTCTAAAAATAAATAAATAAATTTTAAAAAAAATAGAAGGAGCAAAGGCAATTCAATTTAAAAAGCACAGTCTCTTCAACAAATGTTGCTGGAACAACTGGACATCCACATGCAAAATGTGAGTCTAGGCACAGACCTTCCACCGTCTACAAATGGGTCATAGGCCTAAAAGGAAAACGCAAAACTATAAAACTCCTAGAAGGCGACTAGGAGAAAGTCTGGGTGACCTTGAGCTTTGCAATGACTTTTTAGACGCAATGCAAAAAGGAAGGTCCAAGAAAGAAAAAAAATCGATAAGATGCACTGCATTGAAACTAAAACATCTGCTTTGCGAGAGACATTGTTAAGAGAATTAAAAGATAAGCCACAGACAATCTTTGCTAAACACACACCTCATAAAGGACTGTTATCCAAAGTATACAAAGAATTCTTAAAACTCAGCAATAGCAAAACTCTGCAATTTTAAAATGGGAAAAGATCTGAACAGACGCCTCACCAGAGAAGATACAGAGATGGCAAGTGAGCACAGGGGAAACGCTCAGTGTCACCAGGGAAGTGCAAGTTAAAACACAGA